TCGGCACTGGAACTTGCATGGTTGCCGAGTTGAAATACCCGGACAGACGAACATACACACACACACGCACAAATACACACACATACACACAGACGGAGTCGTCGCAATATGCGTTTTTGCAATTTGCGTATAGGCAAAAACGCATTAAAATTGTTTATTTTCGTTAAAGCAAATTTACGATGATTTACGGTACTGAGCGCACAAGACAGGCGTGAAGCAACAACCATTCATGCAGTTAACCTAGCCTATTTCAAGTTTGGTGTAAGTGCACACGATCGTACCGGCAGGTCTGGTGCGCTCCAGCCTGGGTTTTCAAAGAGGCGACAAATGAAGAGTTGGAGTTGTAGGAGCACAATCAATGACCGTGTAGAGGGTCTGGACCTGAAATCAGCTTTCGGTATTCTATGTATTGCAGCGCTATCTCAGATTCAAATTCATTGTAGAAATAAAGAAATTGAAGCTTACGAAGAAGGGCCGAATGTCTTGGAATTAAGATTTGAACCTACTTTTCTGATTTGTAGGAGTTCAGATCTGAACGCACGGCAATGCTGTGATTTCAGAAGAAAGATACAAGCTCAGGATTTCGAGACTTTTTCAAACGAATAGTGCGCACCAATTGCCTTAATTTAGCTTTACATTTCCAAATTGTTTCAAATTATGAACTCATCATCAATTATGAACTGATGCTTAAAGAAAAAGATTTTCAGGAAGTAATTCTTTTATAAGTTTTGTTCTTACTGTAACGGAGGTGGATCAGCTGCTGGAATTCAACCAACCAGTATAACAGCTTCTGTCGTAAATCCGATAGACTGCGTATTTCACATTCAGTGGTTTCAAAAATGTTATAATTGCAGAGTAATAACAACAACACTGATAGTAATAACAGTGGTGACAACAAGGGCGGCAGCATTGAAAATATCAGCAAAAATAACAGTAACGGTGAGGCAACAGAGCGTACAATATCAGTAAGCGAATCGTCAGAAGGTAGCCATATATCGCCATCAGAAACTCACAGTAGTGCTAGCAACGGCACGTCTCCGACTGCTTCGCGAGAATGCTATGAATGCGCAGTGTACAAGGGAAAACTAGCGGTTGCAGAGAATCGATGTCGCTATCTGGAAGGAAGGACTGCCACGTTACAGGTGAGCTGCAGAGCATTCCGAATTTCCTTCAGTCTACTCCTGAAAAACAAATCTCACTGTCACTGATCCATTTGGCTCATCAGTATTGATTATTGAAGCTTATCTCTGACTTTTTTGTCGTGCTTCAACTGCACGAAAACCTTTTTCTTAAACACAAACACTGGGAACAGTTGCGGATTACTTTTTTCTTACTTTTAACCAGCAGCAACAAACGCCATTGCTATCAGTGCAATCATGCGTTTCCGTAGCCTAAAATCTGCAGTATTCCTAGGCGAGGTGTTCGCATGCGTGAAAGCTGCT